TTAAGGGTTTAGGGTTTAGGGGACTCTCTTTAGGGTTGAGGAGGCCCCTTGCCCGCCAGTACAGCAAGTGATGGTCCAAAGCGTGGTGGGTCTGACGGTTTGGAAGTTGCCCGAAGCTTCGTTGAAATTTCATTTCTCCTCAACACCCCAAACCCCAAACCCTAAACCCTACTATAGAAACTGTCGCAGGGCTGAAAGTGAAGTAATTAGTAGGGTTTCTCTAACCTAATCCCTAAACCCTACCATTTCAGTTTCAGCCCCTCGACGGTTTGCCGTACGGCTATTGCGAGGGTTTTGGGATATGGATTGGGGTTCTGAGGACCCGCAGGATTTAGGACCTGGTGGGTTGAAGGGTTCAGGGGTTTCAGGGTTTAGGGATTTAGGGGCTTTATCATTGGGAACTGTTCCAAACTCAGGTTGTCGTTAAGTTAGTTTACCTGGTGAGTACCTGGCAAGAACCTGACTGTCCGACCTCAAGTTTGAGCCACAGCTACGGCTCAGAGCCCGGGTTCGCTTTCAGAGTTGTCAGCCTAGGGGTTTGATGTAAGCCGTTGAGCTCCAAGTAGACTACCCCAAGCCCCAAGTGTCCCATTTAAACCGCAATTTGGATGCCTTATTCTGAACCTGCACCTGAGTCCTGCGAAGTAGTGGTCAGTACCACAGAAAAACACCCAGTTCCCAACCCCAAAACCCTAAACCCCAAATCCTATAAACCCTCAACCCTAAACCCTAAACACACAAATCCTATAAACCCTAAACCCCAAACCCCAAATCCTATAATCCCTAAACCCTAAACCCTAGGGAAAAAACCCTAAACCCCAAATCCTATATAATCCCTAAACCCCTAAACCCCAAATCCTATAATCCCTAAACCCTAAACCCTAAACCCCAAAACCCCAAAGGTCCCGAGCCTGATCCAAGCGACTTCGAGGCTCACCGAGCTGATCTTCACACGACTGGCTCCAAAGCTGAGACATGGCCTCAGTTCACGGTTTTGGGTTTTATAGGGTTTAGGGTTTATAGGGTTTAGGGTTTAGGGTTTATAGGGTTTATAGGGTTTAGGGTTTGACATGGCCTCAGTTTTAGGTTTTGGGTTTAGGGTGTTTAGGTTTTGGGTTGTAGGATTTAGGGCAAAGGGTCTAGGGCTTAGTGCATTGCGGTCCCTGCTCAAAAACAGGTTTAGGGTTTATCGGATTTAGGGTTCAGGGTTTTATAGGGTTCAGGGTTTAGGGTTTTATAGGGTTTTATAGGGTTTAGGGTTTAGGGTTTATAGGATTTAGGGTTTAGGGTGAAATTCTCGAGGATAGAAGTCGGATTCTTGGGTTGAGGGTTTAAGGGAAGCATGTACAGTAGAAGCGCAAAAGTTGGAAGGTTCCCCCTCAATCCTTAAGATGTACGGGGAATCCCAGCACTAATTGTCCTTAATCCGGTTTGCAACTTTCGGGCTCTAATCCCATCATTCTCGCCCCATAGACTCATTACACGCCCTATTCAAGAAAGGTATCAACGCTCCTTGGAAACCAGGTGTCTCTCGAGTTTAGGGCTTGGCTTTGGGAGTGCATGAAGGTTCGGAGTTTAAAGCTTAGTGCCTAGGGTTTAGGGTTGAAGTTGTGAGGGAAGGGTATCAGTGACGCGTAGCGTCGACACATGTGTCTGGAGCTGCCGGCCCGCATGCAGGCATAGAGCTGCGATTCTTAGAGCTTTCGGTCTTTCTGCCTGCGCCACCTGCACATGTCCAGTCTTTGTACCCGGACTCTTTGGTTCGCCCCAGCAAGGCGTAAGACAAGGACGTTCTAAACTCTAAGCCCCAATTCAAAACCTAACATCGCCGCCCGACACCCTGAACTCTCCTTTCGTCGAAAAGGGCCCTGTGAATGCAGTCAGGTGGCTTCCGGCGTCAGGTTAGCCGTGTCTAGAACTGCAGAAGCGAGCCTGAGCTCACAGCTCCGACATAAAGCCTCAGATGGAGGTCGGAAAGACTGGCCCAACTCGGCGAACCTGAACTACTACGCGGCCCGTGGGATGGGATTCGCCATTTGTGCTACCATTATGCTATGTTTTCGGTCGGCCGCAGTTAATGCTGTTGCAGTAGAAGTGACTTGCTGCTAGCACTGCTACTGCCGTACTGCTACTGCCGCCGCCGTCATGCGTGAGCCAAAGTAGCGTTTCTGCTGCTGAAGCATCAGTTGCATCTCCTTCCTCAGACTGGCTTCCTTGTTCTACTTGGAGGTTCATGGGTAGTTATAAGTGGAGTTATAAGTCCAATAATATGTGGTATCATTATAGTTACCCTACTTATAACCCCACTTATAACTACCCATGGACCTCCAAGTAGGGCATCCGCAAGGACATGCAATCCCCACCCTTGTAGTGAACCCATACTTGGGTATTGGGGAACAAGTGGCCACTGGCACGAGTAAATCTGCCGTAGTTGAAGGCAACTCAGCATGTCTTGGCCATGGCAGCAGGGACCAAATGCGTACTTTACGGTACAGAGTCCATTTCGTGAAGCCTGTGGGTTTAGGGTTTAGGGGGTTTA